GATGACACTGGCAAGCAAAATACTCAGCTCCTGACACTGCCATAAGGGGTATATTATACATCCCTGCCAGCAGCAAAGTGGTGCCTGGCTGGACACAGGGGCTGCAAACCAGGCAGTGGCTGGGAAGGGGACACAGCAGGTTTTGGGTGGTCTGTGGCCCTGCAGAAGGCTGGCACTCCCCAAAAATTTCAGCCAACACTCAGCAATAGCAGGGCTTCACTTGGCACCGTGAAGGGGGAAAACAGCCCAGCAAAGCACTCAGAAGGCAGAGACACCGTGCAGCTCCTGCTCTGAAACACTGGCACCTTGTGGCAGCTCAGCCCCACACGGGCACGCTGTGTCTGACTGTCCTGCTGGGCACCGGGGTGGCCTGGGCACGGCTCCCAGAGCCAGGACACAAGCAGGAGCAACATCACACAGAGGCATAAAAAACCACCTCGCTCTGGGTAGCATTCAGTAACTAACAGCTGGGGAAGGAGGAGATCTGGAAATCTGTAGTTGCACTTCCAGCCCTGTTTGTGGCCTCCCACAGCTACCAAAATGATAACCAGGAGGGTGGCGTTGCTTGGGATGCCCGTGATCACTGTCTGGGGCACTGATCACACAAGATGTGTCCAAGCCAGGAAACTGCAAGGAGTAAACAAAGCTCTTGATGTGTGTGAGCACCACCAGGGCAGTGTGGGGTCTGGACCCCACCTGCAGCACATCCACACTGTCACTCTTCAAGAAAGAGGTACCAGGGCCATCACGGGGCTCCTCACTGCCTGATGCATCTTGTAAGGAAGGAAACAATCATTTGAGATCCCTTTTTGAAAAAATATAAAATTATTTGGATGCTTTTGAATGCTGTAAGGCCACGTTAAATTATGGTCACCACAAGGCCTTATTTCTTCATTTAAATATTTGAGATATAAGTATTCTCCCTGAGGTTTTCTTTCACATTTAGTAGTGAATGTCACATGTATGTACCCAGCTCGTTTTCTCCCTGTTACTGCTGAAATACACGTAAATATGAGAATATAGGCAAATATTTACAGGCAATAAATGCTGTGTGGGGTAATTAACTAGTGTTTTATATGGTTATAAACCAAAACACGACATTTCAGTAATAACTAAACCCAGGAAAATGAAAACTCAGTTCCCTTACTCTTCTCACACCTAGCAGCTTATTTTTTAGCTAATTAAAAAGTGGCAAATCCAGAAATGGGAGAACGAAGACATTTTTCTCCCACAGTACATAATGAATCTGTGGCTTTTACTGCCACAATAAGCTGAGGATTCCAAATCCAGCGAGGCTGACAGGGTGTGGGTGTTTCTGTGGACAGTGAGAATGGCCAGAGCTATAATGGTTACGAATGATGTGAATTTTGGAAGAGGGCAGACCTCCAGCTGTGGCTGCAAACCAATCTTTATTAGGGATTAGGAAAAGAGCTATGGTGACAGCCAGGTTATCTGCTTACAAGGGAGCTGCACATACTTTCCACCTTCCACCCGCGGCTGGAGGGACTGTCTGCAATAACTCTGTATTGGAACTGGTTCAATTTTTTCCATCTTCAATTTTTGTGAGCTAATCCCAGCTCAGCCACTCACACAAGCCACATTCACCCGTGTGTGCAATGCCTGAGCCCTTGGAACATCAGCCTTACTTAGCAGAAAAAACCCCAACCATCCTTTTCTTCCCAAACAAGGCATGCAAAGAATAAACAGCATTCCTTAGCTCCAGAGCACGCTGCCTAAGGAATAGAGCTGGGGACAAGATGTAGAAAAAAAAACCAACCAACCATGCAAGATGTCTAAAAGTGTCTGTCATAAATAAAACTAATTAACAGGCCTCTGAGCAAATGCAAAGGCCAAGAGGCAAAGAACATAAACACTGCTGCAAGAGATCAGCGCGCTGTTCCCTGCAAAGCATCACAGCCACCGCTCCTTGCGCAATCGATACAAAAGTGATTGTGGCTCCAAAAGAGAAACAGAAGACAAAGGAAAAACTGACTGCTCCTAAAGAAACAAAGGAACTGCCCAACTTAATACACAGTTTTTCCTTTGTTTATTCTAAAATACTGTAACTACAAGCCAATAAATGAAAGGGGGGGGGGAGTCAGAATCAATGTAAAAAATACTAGCACTTATCAAAAACACAGCAGGCAGTTGTTTCTTCCAGCCATCTCCTCAATAATTCATGCCCAATATACAGAAGCCAAGCTTGGGAATACACAGTGCCAAAACAGCCAAGGGAACTGTTTCTCCCATCACCCAGATGCAAAGCACAACTCCAAAATAGAGGCACCAGCCAAAAGCATTGTACTTAAACCCCAGTTCCAGCAAATAACACCAAAATGTGTCTGGAGGGGTTCAGCTGGACAGCAAGCATGGTCCAGGAGGTTGGGTGGGATCCTGCATCCCACAGGATAGCCCTGGGCACCAAAAGTGCCCTTTGCAGGAGCCAGGCACCCTGTGCCTGCCCAACCACCCAGCTGTGTTCCACTCCAAAAGCACCAACTCTGGTTTTATCTCATTGCCAGCTTCCAAGGGAATACAGTGGGGGATATAAATAGAGCTGTAAGGATGAAAAAAGGGTTTGGATTCAGGTATCAACTGGGGATGAACCTCAAGGGCTCCACACACAGGGCCATGGAGGCACAGGGAATGTGCACCTGTAACATGTGGCACAGACGATTTGTGGGCAGCCCTGGGGAGAAGGGAGAGCAGGGCAGGGCCAGAGCCAGTGGGGACACATAGGGACCACCCAGCTCTTTTGCCACCATCTCCATTTGATGGAGGGAACATGCTCCAGCACTGGCAGTGTTTGCTGTGTGAGGTCAGGAAAGACAAATTTAAAGATATTTAATAAACAAATGGAGAAACATCAAGAAAAGCAAAATGAGGAGTAGATGAACACAGGCCAGAGGCAGATACAACTTCCACACTATCCTGGATGAACTACAGCTGAAACCAGGGCTGTTTAGGGCCCCCATTATTTGCCTTCTATTTGTTCTGAGCCACAAGCTCTGGTGTAACACATTTGAGATTCTTTCTGAAACTACAAAGGCTACAAACCCACTTTTTCCTGTGACTCCTTCAGGGTCTGTGTCCTTCCCCTGTGCTCAAACACCAGAAACGCTCTTTCAGCCTTGAGGAGAGAAAACTGAGAGGATTCCTCATCGTCTGCCAGTGTCTGCAGGGAGGGTGCCAAGAAGATGAGCCAGGCTCTACGCAGTGCTGACAAGCAAGAGGACAAATGACAATGGGCACCAAGTGATGCACAGGAGGTTCCACCTGAAAATGAGGAAAAACTTTCCTGTGCAGTGACTGCACACAGGAACAGCTTGCCCAGAGGGCTGCGGAGTCTTCCTCACTGGAAACATTCCAGAAATGTCTGAACACAGCCCTGCACCATGTGCTGCTCTGGGATCACAGAATGGTTTTGGTTGGAA